TGTAACACATAAAAAATAATTAGTTTATCAGCATCGGCGCCCGCGCCGAGCCCCTTATTGTCTCAAACATTGTTTAAAGAATTTATTGCTCGCAAGTTTTTGGTACCAAAATGTTTCTTATAACGTATACTATCGAAATATACCTATGGCTTGAAATCTCTATTTTAAGATGCTATGGCCAGATTTTTAATTTAATGCACCCCTATCACTGTAACTCTCAAAATATGAGGCTGTGTTTGTCATATTGAAAATTACAAAGTTTGACGGAATGTACGGACTTTGTAAAATTTTTTTGGGAAATGCCTTTTGCAACGGCATAAAGTCCGAACTTTCTCATTTAATTAAAAAAAAACGATTTTTTTTCGTAAAATTACAGCACTTTAAAGTAGCTCTCGCATTTTTTACATATACTATTCAATACGACAACCTCATATTTTTGAAAGTTATAGTGATAGGGGTGCATTAAACTTAAAAACTGGCCATAGCGTCTTAAAATAGAGATTTCAAGCTTTAATTAAAAAGAAAAAACGTTATCCTACGATAATTTTTCGCAAAGTTATCGTCCGTCAAGGTTAGCCAATTTTTGCCCAAAATTTTTCTATGCCGTAATTTTTTTGAGCAGTGTATTATATTAAAATTCGTGACGGTATTTGTATGGGTCTATATTATATTCGCTGACAACTTTGTCAAGATGCTGACGATGACACTAGCATGGAACTGATACATCGACATGCGAATAAATTTCTTCGTCTTTAATATCATGACGTGATTCAGGCGACCGTGTCCTACATCGAGAAATGGTAAAGTGAATGGCCAATAACGAAACCGTTGTGAATCCCACAAAGCATTTTTTCCCTACTCCTTTTCCTTCTGTTTTCTACTCTTGACACTTTCTCTAAACGTAGGAAAAATTTAGTAAATCATCCAAATTTCATATTTGTTTCATAAAATTAGAATTAAAAGATTATAGGCAGAATTTGATATTAACTGTACTTAATCTCTTCAGAGACAAATTTTTTAAAAGATAAATTTTAATATCAATAGTATAACCAATAGTTTACGAGATATCTTATACTTTATTCTGACATATATTGACATAAAATATTAAATGTCGTAAACTATTAATTTTGTAATAATCGTACCATAATACTTTCATGAACAGAATAATGAGATGAATCAGTTGGTGTGCAGAAAATACATATTTGCTTATTTTAAAAATTATTCATTTTGCAGTCATATTTTTTAAAGCAACTATGTATTTTCTTTACATCAATTGATTCATCTCATTATTCTGATCATAAAAGTATTAAGGTATACGATTATCAAAAAGTTAATAGTTTTATGAGTTATTTAACATTTTATGTCAATATGTGCCAGAACAAAAAGTATGAAATATCTTGTAAACTATTGAGTTTTTATATCACTACCTTAATACTTTTATATGTACAATAATTAGAGGAATCATATTGTATAAAAAAATTATACAATTCCATTTTAAAAAATGGAGGTGACCTTCACATCTTTTTGGCGCCTCCACGTAGAAAAAAAACATAATCAAAATACGTCCCCGTCGAAACCGTTCCACTTTTATTTAAAATATTTTTTTATATCATTAAAAATAAGTGAAACATTTTAGATGGTCGATTTAAGTGAACCACCCTGTATTAATCCTTATAACATATAACAACTTGAAATCATCTCTTGAAAACTCGAACAATTTTAAGATGAAAAATACACACTTTCGCAAGGACAGTCAGTTTTATTAGTATCGTGCGCTTTAGTTATTAAAATATTTAATGCGTTGTCCTTGTGCGTCGCAGGAAGGCTTCTACATTATTAACGAGTACAGTACGAATCGTTACATATTAATAATACGAATCCTTATGTAACGTATGTTTACGTATTTTTACTGTTTATCGTGAGCCAAGTATTATAGTTTTTATACACACAGTATAATACACAGTATAACACACACACACACACACACACGAACATTTAATGCACTATAATTAATACGAGATATTTTCCTACATTTTACTACATTTACTATATTTTACTTACACTTTATTCTGCCACATATTGACATAAAATATTAAATATCTCGTGAACTATTAATTTTTTGATAATTGTACTTTAATATTTTTATGAATAGACTAATGAAATGAATTAATTGGTGTAAAGAAAACACATAGTTGCTTATTTAAAAAATTCATTTTATCTATATATTTTTTAAAAGCAACTATGTATTTTTTTACACGAATTGATTCATCTCTCATTATTCTGATTATAAAAGTACTAAGGTACGATTATCAAAAAATTAATAGCTTACGAGATATTTAAGAGGATCCGAAAGACGATTAGTTATAGTGTAAGTAGGACTTACACATAGAAGATGTACGTGTCTCTAACGCATCATTACATACGGAATACTTTATGTAGTACACCAATATCTCACGCACATACACATAAATTTTCGTATAACAATAACATTTTAATTAGACGTTTAAGTCCAATTCTAAGAACTCTACGTTGTTTTTTCGTGCAAAGTACTAGTCTATGGACTACTATTTCATAAATACAGATTGCACAGCTTTTATATGAAGCAAATGTTGTCACGATGTTGTGACGACTCTAGAATGCCATATTGGACTAAGAAATGGTAAAGATTTCAATTACGAAATTTTTTTTTCAGCATAATCTCCACCTCACAGACACGTATTAATGCGTATACTTTAATCTGGGAAAGAATTTTCGAATCTGTAAAAGAGAAAAGAAGTAATTGTTATATACAAAAATTATTGCGTCGGTAAAACAAACGACTTTAGGATCAATATGAATAAAATAGTAAAGTATAAAATCAAGCCAGATTTATACAAGAAAGTATAAAATATCTGTTAAAAAAAAACTACATCAGAAAAATCATTATGTAAAAAACCTACACAGTTTCATTGAAAAAAATTAAGATCACCTTGAAATTTTGGAGGCATGTCCACCTAGAGAGGATCTGTGACCATCAAAAGATGTCTCCCTTGAAACAAAATGAGTTTTATTTAAAACATTGTTTGGAATAACAAATAATTTGGTATCAAATGACATGGTAGGGTCTCGCGCCAAGTGAACGCACAGCGCCAGTAAGTTTTACTTGAAACATTGTCTGCAATAACGATAGTTTGAGAAATAATTGCGTTCGAAGCTTCAAATGCGACACCCTGTGTATATATAATTATGTATATATAATATATAATAGTGCACAGATAACGAGAATGTATATAATGTGAATTTTCTCTTTTTCTAAAAATAACTAAAATTTTAAGGCAATACTTTACTTCACACTCTTCTATTTATTATATCATTCAAATAGTTAAAGCAAGTCGCATTGAGAATTGATCTTGGGAACATTTGAATTTTCCGCCATCATCCGATATTATCCGCCAAGATCAAGCAATTATATTGACATCTCGTGACGATCTTATTTGATTAAAGTTGATGAAATGTCCCCAAACTTAATTCTCCGCAATGAGAGAGGCTGTTTGAATTTCCTGAAATGTTGTGACGATTATTTTCGATGAGGCCAAAACAGCAAAGCTCGGAATCTGCCAACGGCGTCAGCTGACGGCAACCTGTGGGCTGTTTGTGACAAACTGGACAGGTTCCAAACTATTCACGGACGAGACTTAAAGTATTCCGCCGTGACGGTCAGAATATTACGCTGATTCACCAAACACGTGTGCTCCCATCACGTACATTAGGTACTTAAAAAATCATTCTACGCAGCGCACAACTCATTGGACATACTGATTTAGTCTGCATGATTTTATTTTAGTCTAAGAAGAAATAGGACATTTTACGAACACTTACTACAGGATAAGAAAAACACATCTGTTTCTTTCGAAAAACAAAGAATCTTCTTATTCGCTGAAAATCTCATGTTTTCAAAATAAATCGTACATTTTCTTTCTATTGGAATATAAGCTTCTTTCATTTCTTAAGAAGTGTTTTCGTTTTGCTGCATAAATAAAACGTATTTCGTGTTTGTGGGTACTGCTTCTGCGTATTAGTCACGCGAGCTGTGCACGTTTTGTCTAGAAGCGGTCCAATCAGAGAACGAATCTGACAAGAAACTATAAGATTCGGTTACGATAGGAAACGATTTGGGGAATCTCACGAAGCGGGAGATGTGCATAGCGCTCCATAACGACTCCCTTTTCATGTAATCCCTTTTGCCCCGAGTCGAACTCATAAAGGTGGCGTTGAACTTGAAAGGACGACGGGTTCTTCTCTTCTTTCGCGACTGTGAGAGAAGTCGGGGAAAAATGTGACTTGGCCTTCATCGGGAGACCATCCTCCTCAACCGAACGAGTTTGCTTCGAATCGGTTCACTCCTCGTCTTCGCCAACCTCTTTCAATCTATCCAGATTGAATTATCCCATAGAATAATCCCAACGATTTACAGACAACTTACATTTCTTCCTATATTAAATTAATACCAGCTTGATTATTACTTTAAACTAGATTCTTAAATGACCGTGGATATTGAGCTTGTTGAGTGGATATCAAATGCTTGAATTTTAATAATCTATTAAAATGATTCTTTAAAAGCGAATCCCTAAAATGGAGCTCTATGATGAAAGTAAATGAGATCTTTTTGACAGTACAATTTCATTTAGTTTTGTATAAAAATTGATTTAGAGATCTGATATTACTTGGAAAATGATGTGATCGAATTTTGTTATTTGGTTAAAGAGATCAAAATTTTCTGTCTGTTACTTTTTGAAAGGACAATCCAATCATTTTGATTAAAAAACTTGGATATTTTCAATGAAGATATGTTTAGATCTCCCCTTAACATTTTAAATGCAATGAGTTTAAACACGAGGATCCTTAGATTCTTAAATGTCCTTAACCCTGAATACTCCGAATGTTGAATTTGAATGGATTGATAAAAGAAAGATTAATTTTTATCTTGAACAAAATGATGAGACAATGTTTCTTTGTTGCAGATCCGCCTACCGGTAGTATCTACATGATAGGTGGAGTGCTGATCGCTATGGTTCTGGTGGGCGTCTTGATCGTCTTGCTCGCTGTAACAATCAGGTAAGTGCCACTTCATCATATACTGTCTTCCGTCGTTGACATTATATATTATCAACATCTCGTAACAGTCTTATCCATCTGTTAATGGTTATTAAAATCCATCTTCAGGCTATTCTGATATGAATTCTGCACAAAATTCATGGTTATTAATATCTTATCGTGATTGTTTTGTTTTATTTTGATACCTTTCATAACTGACTCAAAAAAATATTTCATTATACATATATTAAAATAATGATCAATACAGAATAAAATCATTAATTCTGGAATATCTTCAAATATAAAAATATCTTTTTTTTATTGCAAATAAAATATTGGGTTGATCAATAATTTCCCGGTTTCTTTAAGTGTTATACTAATTAAAAATATTATCACAGACCATCTCTTTTATTTTTTTCTGTGAAATTAATTTTTATCAACAATTTAAACGAACTTATCAACAACTGTGTGTTTCAGCTTATCTGCAGCCTGTTTTTTAGTTTATTGTAGGTTAGGCTATTAATAGTGTTAATTAAGTAATTCACATTAGCGCAAGTGTGATGGTACAGCCTTGTGAGTGACATTAAATGCAGCACAGTGCTCAAACGTAATCGGAAAAATACGAGTGGAACAAAAAATAGCGTGGAATAATTTCGCGTGACTAGCACACAATAATTGCGGCCACCTAACTAGATCTCGCATCGACGAATTACGCGCTGAAAATCATTAATTAAGGCCAAATGTCTCTTCAACCCCTCTCTTTCTCTCTCTCTTTTTCTCTTTTTTTCTCCACTTAATAGCAATGTCGATTAAGCATAACGTTTGTAAAATGTGATGTACCTAAGTTAAAAAATGATAAAGAAATGAAGCTAACAATGAAAATTTCTCGAAAATCCTCTTGACAAAAACAATAGAGATCTATATCAATTTACATAATTTACAATATATTTATAAAGATTTATAAGGAATCAGTGGCTTAGCC